TAAATAAAATCTTAAAAAAAAAAAAAAAGAAGAATTCCAAATAATGTAGACAGAATGAGGGAAACAGAAAATCGCCACTACAATTACACGGTAAATGCCACTGCAGGCAAATTTCACCGATGAATGCTAAAATTCGTGGAAGAAACTCAGATCTTTGGGTAGCCTCACAGAACCTCCCCAAAATATTTACTCATTACTATGGGTGATTCTAACACAGGTTCACAAATTCTTTGATACTCATCCCTTTCAGGAGGTAGAGCTTACTTCCCTTCCTCCAGAAATGGGCTTGACCTGGCGACTCATTTCTAGCTTCTAACAAATGAAGTAAGGAAATTGGAAAAATAGTCACTTTAGTGAAACCAGGCAGATACTACCTTAATCAAGTTATCAAAGTTAACATCAGTAACAAGTCACAATGCTATCAGGTATCCCCTGAAATGCAGTATGACGTGACAAGAAGGACATACCATCTCTGTGGTACTCCTCCCCGAAATGCCTCACTTCAGACTAATCAAGACAAAATACCAGAAAACCCAATTCAGGAACATTCTACAAATAACTGACTGCTACTTTTCAAAGGTGTCAAGGAGAGAAAGGCAAGGAGAGACTCAGAAACTGTCACAGATTGTCGGAAACTAGGGAAACAGGACACCTAAATGTAATGTGGTATCCTGGATCAGATCCTGTAATAGAAAAAGGGTATCACTGGGGGAAAACTAGGGAAATGAGAAGAGAGCCTATACTTTAGTTAAAATAATATTAAACTAATACTGATGTCTTAATTTTAATAAATGTCTCACTACAGAAGATGTTAAATTTAAGGAAAGCTAGATAAAGATTATATGGACGTTCTATACACTCTTGACAGTCTTCTGTAAATCTAAAATTATTTCAAAATAAATTATTTTTTAAACTGCCTTATTGTAAAGTCAGAAAAAGGGAAAGTAATACATTTTAAAAGAAATTTAAATACATGCAAACCAATAAGAAATGTTTTATGGTGAGAAGATTAACATTTTCAAGTGCCTGGGAGGTACAGTAGGTTTAAAGTCGGACTCCTGGTTTCAGCTCAGGTTGTGATCTCAGGGTAGTGAGATAGAGCTGCACAGAGTCCCACTTGGGATTCTCTCTCTTACTCCCCCTCCCACCCTCACCCCTACAGGCACATGCTCTCTCAAATAATTAATTAATTAATTAATTTAATTTTTTTCCCCCAGGGGCCTGGGTGGCTGGCTCAGTTGTTGGGTGTCTGCCTTCTGCTCGGGTCATGATCCTGGGGTCCTGGGATCGAGCCCAGAGGTCAGGATCCCTGCTCAGCAGGAAACCTGCTTCTCCCTTTCCCACTCCCCCTGCTTGTGTTCCCTCTCTTACTGCATCACTCTCCATCAAATAAATAGATAAAATCTTAAAAATATATCCATATATTAAAAAGAAAAGGAAGATTAACTTTTCTACTGTACAAACAAACGCCAAAGTAAACTGGATTGACTTTCAAGCTCAAAAATTTAATGACATACAGGGGCGCCCGGGTGGTGCCCCCAGTTAAGCCTCGGACTCTTAGTTTCGGCTCAGGCTGTGATCTCAGGGTGGTGAGACTAAGCCCTGGATCCCTTGGCACTCAACTTGGAGTCTGCTTAAAACACTCTCTGCCCCTCTCCCTCTGTACCCTGCCCCCCAGTGCGTGCACTTCCACATGCTCTCTCTCTCAAAAATAAATTAATTAATCAAAAATTTAATGACATACAAAAGCAATTCCCACTAGGTCTGTGTCGAGAGATTAGCCCAGCAAGCTCTAAAAAGGTAGTGAATATGATCCCTCACATATATCAGTTTGCTTTAACCCCTTTCTTGACCGTAATTGTCCTCAACACATTCCTAGCAGTAAGTCTACAGAAACCTGGTTCTAAAAGTGCCATTTAGAAGAACAAAGTGAAATCAGTGATATTTACTCGGTTTCCTTTTCAAATTGACCAAATCAAATGAACCACCAGATGACTTCCATTAGGTCAAAATGTTCCTCAAATTTTCTTGCTTTTTAAGGAAAAATAAAATCTACACATCAACTAACCATGCTTAATATTTAAAAAAAAGAAAAAGGGGGGCACCTGGCTGGTTCATTTGGTGGACCGAACACGCAAGTCTTGATCTCAGGGTCTTGAGTTTGAGCCCCATGTTGGGGGTAGAGATTACTTAAAAACAGTAGTAACAGTAATTTTAAAAAGAAGGGAAAAATTGAAGAGGAAGAGAAGAAGAAAGAGAAAGAGGAGGAGGAAGATGCCCTAAATTTGAAGGGTCAACAGCAAAAATTTCAAGAGACAAAGATGGATCAATCGGGAAAATGAACAAGACATTGAAATCAGGAAGAACAAACTGACTAAAGCTAAGTCACCTATCTTGACGGGGATGAGAGGTTCAAATCACACAAACACTCCCCTTTACACAAGGGGACACTCACTTCCACAAACACCCCCACCCTATAACCAAAATTAAAACCACAAGGCAGTATCTTTCCCAGATCTCAATCCATTTCAAGCAAGCTTGGGAAACCTGTCCTACTTTCCCCTGAATGCCAGAGTAAGCAATTAATAAAAAGTTTTCATATCCTCAAGAAAAATAAAAAATAGAGCTAAGCCACCTAGACATAAGAATCCAGGTGCTTCCTTCATTGTCAGCAAACAATGGAAAATGACTTTTTAATATGTAACGTAAACTTACTTGTAAATTTGAGAAATTTAACACAGGTTAAATAGGCTGAAATGATAAGTATTGGAAGAGATGACTTAAAAAAAAAACATCGACACTGAGACAGGATGGGAAGATGTTTTTAGAAGCTTCCCAGCACTGCCACACAGTAATGTATTTATTCATACAATGGGAAAAGAAGGGAAACTCACTAGGATTCAGTAACTTGACTAAAACATCCCCTAAGAACATCCAGGGTTCCTTAGTTCCCATTCTATAATCAATTGCCTTTTTATTACTGATTTCGCTGCCCAGAAACAAAGGAGGTGTCCTAGCCAGTGGATAATTAATTCCAATTGTGTACATGGCACTTTATACTTTTGGTGTAAATAAACTCGTACCTGGTTTATCAGTCTCCGGTGAGATTACTTTGCATGAATAAATTCTCAAGCACTTGAGTCACCCTTGCATAAACCAAAAATTTCACGTATCTAAACTAGTGGGGGTTTGGGGGGGAATCCAGAGAGACCTTGACGTGGATGCCAGTTCTGCCACATAACTATCTGTGTGACCCCTTATTTCTATCAGTCTCAATTTCCCCATCTGTAAACAAATACCTACAGCTAGTGCCTAGAAGATGGCTCAAGTGCTCACAAGGTGATAGCTTTATTATTTTTAAGTTGAACTGGAGAGGAAGAGTACCACTGATACAGGAACATCTCACTTGAAAAGGAGTAGTCTAGACCATCAAACCACTGCACTGGAAAGACACCCCCTGAAGAGAGAGATCCAGTCTCAGAGAGGTGAGAGGAGCAAAATTTTTAAAAGTTGCAAGTAAAGTAAGTACCTGCTGCACTACACAGCTCTCCCTTAGCAACTCCAATGTTGTCTACCAAACACCCAGCCGGTAATAGTTAGAGCATGACAACTGTTCACTCTAAATCCATGTGCTCAGCTTGGATTCAGGACTGATTTATAAAAATAGCTGTTGCTGCTGCTCTTTGAATCTCTTTGAGCTGATGACTGGGCAGTGTTACCCTATAGGCCTAGAGCAGCTGTATTCCCTCACCACACCCATTTCTCTGCCTACCCAGCCCAGCAGGCCCCCCCCTCCCATCTCTGCAGCATACTATTCTCCCTCTTCCTGGGCTGAGTGAGCAAATTACAAGCACAAATATCCCCTGATGCAATGCCACAACTATCCCTGGGAAAGAGCAGAGGCAGTTGCCAAAAGTGCAGCAGCAGGGAAACGGGCGGGAGACACACAGACAAGACAGACACACACACACACACACACACACACACACACACACAGAGAGCAAGAAACACTGCAATGCTATGCAGCCCCGGAGAGCGAATCGAGGGGCCCTGGGGAGCAATAGTGTAACCGAACCAGAGGAGGGAAAGGAGAAAGGGAGTTTCCAGGAGAGAGCTGGGTAAACACTAACCTTCCCGAGAAGCACCTTTCACACCGGGTCTGGGTGCTAAAACACAAACCTAAGCGTAATGACTGCCTCCTCCCTAAAGTAGCAAAAGCATTTAATTTACACGTTCCTGGGTGGAAGCAAAAAAACAAAAACAAAAACAAAAAAAAAACAACGTCGCCCCCACGGGGTAATTTCACCAAAAAAGGGCTCAGGCAACACCAGCGGAGAATCTGGTCCAAGTGCTAAATCACAATCTCGGTTCTGGGTAACGTTTCCAACTGCCCCCTCCCGGTCCCAGTCCCAATCCTCCCATCCCCACCCTTGCTGCGACGGCTTTGCCCTCCCGCAGCCAGACACACGCTAGTCCCCCAGCAGTGCGGGAGGGGACGCGCGCAGAGAGCCCAGGCTGGGGCCCGGTTCTCCAGACCGCCCCTCACCCCCGCCCGTAACCCCAGACTGGCCACTCTCTCTAGCTCACATCAACCCCACCTCAACTGACCCCCGAAGTCTCACGGACCTTTGAGTTTTTCTACGCCCCCGAACCCCAACCAGGGCCCCAGACCGCAGCCGACCCTCGCTCTGCGAGCGCAACCCCATCCCGAGCCCAAAGCATGCCGCTCGGCCCCACGCTCCAGACGCCTGAAACCCCGGTCCTCTCAGCCCGGTCCGCCCCGAGGCGCCCCGGGATCGCTGCTCTAAGCCTCGGAAGATCACGCCCGCAGGCCCCCCAGCCCGACCGCCCCCGCGTCCCGCAGGCCCGCGGCCACCGCCCTTCCCAGCCTCGGGCGGGCCCTGCGGGGTCCCGGGCGGCCGCGGGGCGCGGCTCGGGCAGCTCCCGGGACAGTGGGGAGGCGGCCCCTCAGATCGCGCCCCGCCTGTCGTTGCACCTACCCGCCGCCGCTGCGCCGGAGCCGAAGCCGGAGGGAGACGGGAGACCGCCAGGAGGAGCCGGGAGGAGCCGGGAGAAGTCGGGAGGAGCCGGAGCCTCCAAGCAAGCCCGTGGGGCGGGGCGCAGGGAGGTGGCCGCTTCCTCGTCGCCCTCTTGAGGGCCGGCGCGAGGGAGGGGCGCCGCCACCGCCTATCCCGCGGGCGCCGCTGCTCCGACCAATAAACGCGGCGAGGGGGCGGGCGGAGGGCTGAGGCAAGCCAATGGGCGCTGGCCCCGCCGCCTCGACCTCGCAGTGGTAGCGGCGCGAGCGGAGGGCCGTTGGGGGCGAGGAACGCGTGGGGGCTTCAGACTCCCGCCTCCCGCCGGCTAGCGCCTGGGCGAACGGCGGGTAGACCGACCGCCGCCAGGGCTTTGTAGTGGACGTTGCTTCCTTTCAGAACTTGGGTGCCTGGAGCCGGGAGGATGCGAGCGGCCGGGTACACGCGGCCGGGGCCCGGGTCTCCCCGCCCGCGGGGCCTGCGGGTTCTGTGATGTAACCTGGGCGGGGCGCGGGGCGGGGCCTAGGGCGCGGGCCAGCTGGTCGCGGGAAGGAGTTGTAGGGGGACGGGGACGCGGTGTGGGGCCTCTCCAGGGCTGCGCTGCCACCAGCCACAAGCGACGTGGCTGTTTCAAGTTGAAATGTGCTGTAGATGTAGAGTACACATCGGATTTCCGAGACTTAGCACCAAAAAATAGATCTCATTCATAATTTTATATTGATTATAAACGACAGTTGATAGCAAAATTGGTTATTACCGTTTTAGATTTATTTGACTAAAGAAAACACATTTAAAATAGTTTCATGGTGCTTTTTTGTTTTGTTGTTGTTTGCTTTTTAAAATGTGGCCACTAGGAAACTTAAAATTACTGTTTGGGTCACATTATACGTTTGCTAGCTAGCAGTGGTCCAGAAGGAAAAGTGATGGCTCACGCCTACTGAGTACTTATTATAGTCCAGGCACTCTCGTTTAAGTGTGTGACACCTAATAACTCCTTTTGCTGTCACAAGGATGCTTTACAATTGGTGTTAATGTTCCCATTCTCATTTTACAGATAAGAAACAAACACAGAAGTTTGGTAATTTACCTAATGACCGGCAAGCCAGCAATCAGCAGAGTGGTGCTTTAACTCAGGCAACCAGGCCTTGGGGCCATGTAGTCAACCCCTAGAGCTGGCGGTTACCTGCTCTAGAAAGAACACTGGACTTGCTCGAAAGCTCTGGTTGGATGTCAGCGCTGCTACTTTGTATGTCACCGTGGGGAAGTTCAGCTGCCTTAGTAAAAGTGAGATAATGCAGTTACCGGCCTCTGTCATAGCCCCCATGAGGGTGACCTGGAAGTAGCAGAGTGAGGTAGTTAAACTTGGACTCTGGACCCTGAGTCCTTGTGTACAAATCTGGGGACTGCTACTTACAAGTTATGTGAGCTTGCAGGAGGTATTTCATATCTCTGCTCCTCATTTTCCTCAACTGTAAAGTAGATAGCAGTGGCACCTAGTTTATTAGGGTTGTTAGGTGGGTCATATGTGTTGATATATATAAAGTGCTTAGATTGGTGCCTAGCATTTAGGGTACTGCTCATAATGACTATGAAGGAGTATTTATGGCTTATACAAATACAGAGGAATGAAGAGTAGAAGGATAAGTGGAAAAGGCATAGTTCTATGAATTTGGAGCCCTGGAAAGAACTTCGGGCCAGTCACAGAGAACTGAAATGACTGATCTAGGTCACAGACCAATTCATAAGGCAGGTGTTGTGGGACCAAACTCAAAGCTTTTTCCCTCTCTCACGCAGACTCCAGGGCAGGGGAACTACCATTACAAGCTTGAATTCATTCATCCAACAGACACTGAATGAATACCAGCACGTCAGGAAGGACCACACGGTGATAGTCACTTACTAAAAAGTAAATAAAATAGACTTCCTATCCTAATGAATTAGCATTACTTCATACATTACTTCCACAGCTTTTTGTCCAAACAGGAACCTAGCTGTTGTAAGGGAAACATACAGGTGGGAGCTAAAAAGTTACTCTGATCCTTCTTGCTGCCTAGAGTAACCAGCCCCAATGTCTGTCCCAGGCTTCAAGAGTGAAATTAGCTTTGAGCTCCTTAGAAGTCAGATGACTAGGAAAATTCAAAAGTGTTAGAATATTCCATTCCTTCTTTAATAAAGTCACCATGTTATATGTATCACGTATCCCAAGATAGTCACTCAAGAGTCATTCTCAATTATTGCCCCCTTCTCCCCATCTCAGGCCTTCCAGGTGCTCCTTCTGCCTCAGAAACTTCTCCACCAACACTGATGCTGTCTGGTTCAGTCCCTTTTCTCTTTCCTGCATACTGCCACAGCTACTTCCAAGCCCTTCCTCCTGCCTGTTTCAGTCCCAGTTACACAACCTACACACCACCCTTTCCAGTTCATACACTCCTCCTGCACCCCCCTACATGCCTCTCTGGTACAGCACTCACCACATATGTGGAATCATTCATGTAAACGTGGATCTGCCCTAAGAGATTTTTTCTCAAAGTACAGTCCCTTCTGTTCCCCGACCTCCAATGGATAAGAACACTTCCTCCAGTGCCAGAATACCCAGAATGGAAAGCATAGAACCCCAGCAACAGAGTTGGAAAGGATCTTAGCAAACATCAAGTTCCATATCTAAGAATATATTTTTGAGGCTCTACAAGTTCATAATAAGGCATTTTAGGGTGATCTAGTGAATTTATTATACATGAAAAGTGTGCTTTATATTTATTCATCCAAATTTTGACCAAGGACCAGGACATAGACATGAGCAGAACCCAGTGACTTACCATAGAGATTTCCCTCCAGTTTTAACAGAAACTTCTTCAGTGACTTTCCATTGCATTAAAATCCTTGGTTTTCAAGACCCTGTGCAATGATGCTGTCTCTCCAGCTCCCCTCATCCTCTGCCTTACATCTCACTATGCACAGCATCATCTGCCTTCCTTGTTTCTTGAACTGTCCCTTCTCAGGACCTTCCTCATACCACTGCCTATTCCAATGTGTAGGTAATACGATTTTCTGCGTAGAAAATTGGGGGAGAGCTACAAACTATTAGAATTAATAAGAGTTCAGCAAGGATATTCCATATAAGGGTAATATACAAGAAGGAATAGCATTTCTATATACCAATAATCATCTATAAAATATGATAGGAAAAAATAAAATCAATATGGTACCTAGGAATTAACCTTAACAATAGAGTTGTAAGACTTATATAAATAAACATTACAGGGGTGCTGGGTGGCTCAGTCAGTTAAGTTTCTGCCTTCGGCTCAGGTTATGATGCCAGGATCCTGGGATCGAGTCCCACATTGCACTGGGCTCCCTGCTCAGTGGGGGAGCCTGCTTCTCCCTCTCCCTCTGCCACTCCCCCTGCTTGTGATCTCTTTTTCTCTCTCTGTCAAATAAATAAATGAAATCATTTTTTAAAAAAAGAAAAATGGGCACCTGGGTGGCTCAGTGGGTTAAAGCCTCTGCCTCCGGCTTGGGTCGTGATCCCAGGGTCCTGGGATCGAGCCCTGCATCAGGCTCTCTGCTCAGTGGGGAGCCTGCTTCTTCCTCTCTCTCTCTCTCTGCCTACTTGTGATCTCTGTCTGTCAAATAAATAAATAAAATCTTTAAAAAAAAAGAAAAACATTATAAAATTTCCTTTTTTTTTTTTTTTTAAGAGAGAGAAAGAGCACAGAGGCGAGGGGCGGAGGGGAAGGAAGAGAATCCTAAGCAGGCTCAACATACAGCACAGAGCCCAATGTGAGGCTCAATCTCACTACCACGAGGTCATGACCTGGGCCGAAATCAAGAGTTGGACGCTTAACTGACTGAGCCACCCAGTCACCACAAAACTTGACAAAGTTAGAAGGAAATACATTTATGGGAGTGCCTGGATGGCTCAATCATTAAGCATCTGCCTTCAGCTCGGGTCATAATCCCAGGGCCCTGGGATCGAGCCCTGCATGGGGCTCCCTGCTCAACGGGAAGCCTGCTTCTTCCTCTCCCACTCCCCCTGCTTGTATTCCCTCTCTTGCTGTGTCTTTCTCTGTCAAATAAGTAAATAAAATCTTTAAAAGAAAGAAAATACATTCACGGAGCTATCTTGATGCTCTCAAGGTAGGAATTTCTAGCTGAAATTTCCTGGTACCAACACTTGCCAGATAAATACACAACTTTAACATACCAATTATTATCATAATTTATGATGTTTATGTAAGAATTCCATGGGGAGAGGGAAGTAAAAGTACATAGATTGGAATTTGAATAGAATAGGATCATAGAATTAAGAGCCAGAAGAATCTTTTGGGTCATTAAGCCCAAACCTTTTTCAAGTGAGGTAATTGAGACATGATGAAGACCCACAAAAAAGTGGCAGAACCCAGACTTGAACCTATTTTCCGATATTCAGGCAGGATTTTCTTTCATCTTTAAAATGATGTAATGTAATGTACGGGGCTCCTAGGTGGCTCAGTTGGTTAGGCGTCTGCCTTCAGCTCAGGTGGTGATCGCAGGATCCTGGGATGAAGCCCCGATTCGGGCTCTCTGCTCAGTGGGAAGACTACTTCTCCCTCTCCCTCTGTTGTTCTTCCTGCTTCTTTCAAAGAAATAAAATAAGAAAAAATAAGATCAAATAAAGTAAAATGGTGTAGCATAGGGATGCCTGGCTGACTCAGTCAGAGGACCATGTGACTCTTGATCTCAAGTTTGTAAGTTCAAGACCCGTGTTGGATGTAGAGATTACTTTAAAAACTAAAATAGGGGTGCCTGGGTGGCTCAGTGGGTTGAGCCTCTGCTTTTGGCTCAGGTCACGATCCCGAGGTCCTGGGATTAAGCCCCACATCTGGCTCTCTGCTCGGCAAGGAGCCTGCTTCCCTGTCTCTCTCTGCCTGCCTCTCTGGCTACTTGTGATCACTCTCTGTGAAATAAATAAAATCTTAAAAAAAAAAAAAACCCTAAAATAATAAACAAACAAACAAATAAATAAAATGGTGTAGCATACTGATGCTGCAGACGTCTGCGGCTAAAAAAAAGCTCCCTTCTACCTCCTACTTTAGTACCTGGACACTTAAAATACTTACCTACCCTGACTCTCTTGCAGTTGGAATGGCTCTGTGCCTCACTGGATGGAGCTTTCAGGTAAGTCTTTACAAAAAAACAAACTCAGGGGCTCCTGGGTAGCTCAGTGGATTGAGTGTTCGAGTTTTTATCTCAGTTCAGGTCTTGATCTCAGGGTCAGGAGTTCAAGCCCAGCGTGGAGCCTACTTTAAAAAAAAAAAAAGAAAGAAAGAAAAACTCAGCTGCATAGATTACAGACACAAGGCCTAGAGGTGATGCAGGCCATCTTAAGACAGTAAGGACAAAAGTCATGGGCTAAGGGTGAGCAGTAGGAAGATAGGAAGAGACTAGGTCCTTAGCAT